CAGCTATGATCAGCTTGTTGACGTCAACCGCAGATCAGAACCTTTGTGAAGCGGAGTCTTGACTTCCGGAATGATCCAGAAACAAGAGGGCCAATACCTTTTTTTTTTTTTTTTTTTTTTTTTCGGGGTCAAACCACAAGAGGGCCAATAATACTACCGCGACAAACGGGGGCAGAAAAAAGGGATTGCTTTCAGCTGGGACTCGGTTCCTGGTCCTGGAACGGGGACTGGTTTCAAGTCCTGGTCCTGGAACAAGGATTGGTCCCAGGTCCTGAAACAGAGGAAGCATTGATTCCAGTTGCTGTTCCAAGTTTCAGGTTCTGGAGCAGAGATTTCGTTTCCGTCTTCGCCCGAATAGAACGTCCGGACATTACACATGTATATTGGGCAACTTTCAGTCTAAAAATAGCCATAATGACGGTGCGTTCTATTCGGCGGCGGAAGACGGGAATGAGCGAGCAATAGCCATAATGACGGTGCGTTCTATTCGGCGGCGGACCACGGGAATGAGTGTGCAATCAGCTGGAGAAGAGATGAAGAGCGTTCTTTGTTTCAGCCAAGGAGAAAAGGGAGAGAGAGAAAGCGAAGGTGTTGGTGTTGGGAAAAGAGGGAGGGAGAGGAATCGGGATCGGCAGCCGCGGGTAGATCTCTAGAAGGCGATTGGAGCAAGAAGGAACGAGCAGGAAGGAGGAGGGGAGGAGGAGGGGAGGAGGAAGGAGAAAGATGGAGGAGGAGCCGCCATTTGCTATACCCTTATGGGAGACGGTGGGACGAGGAACGGCTGCAGGCCGTGCATTGTTCGCGATCTACGGTGGAGATCTTGGCGGGAGAAAGGCGGGAAATCGGTTCTCTGATCACAATTTGCAGATGTTGCGGAAGAGTGGACGTTCTTGGAGACCTACGCGGTTGTGGGGACGAGCAGGTGACCCGAATCGATAAAAGAATATATTTTCTTTCAAAACAAATTGGACCATTTCTTATAGATGATGATGCATACCGACGAAACAGTTTGTCACAGTTCCTCGTTTGTTGTCCTCGTCTCCCTCTCTGCCTGCGGTTTACGGGCAGCTACATACATGTATATACTCCGTTGCGCTTTTTTCTTTTGGGACCATTTCTCGGTTTATGCGCATCACCCTTGCGCAGGGACCATGCTAATTAACCGGGAGAGAGAGAGAGAGAGAGAGAGAGCGAGAGAGCGAGAGAGAGAGAGAGAGAGAGAGAGAGAGAGAGAGAGAGCATTTCATAAGACCAAGTAGCCAGGGCATACACATGCGTAGTACGCCAAACAGCACAGCACACGAATGCATGGTGAAGCAAAGCAATATAACTCAGTGATGTACATGGAACCACTGATGCTCTCTCTCTCTCTCTCTCTCTCGCTCGCTCGCTCGCTCGCTCGCGCGCGCAGTGAGACCGAGATGCAGTCTACGAAGTCCGTGTGGTGGGTATATGTACCTTTTATCTTTATCTTAAACGTTTCCTTCTTATTACTCGGACTGCACCCCATGATTGCAACGTACTCACTGTGATCCTCATCCGCAGTGATGTCCGTTGGTCAATCAAAAAGCCAAACAATATGTTGTTTCTCAGGAATCGATCAGAGCCGTCCACTGGGGAGAGCTCTCCATCAGAATCCGGAAGGGGGTTTCTCTCCCTTACTGTTAGCTACTGGCCAACTGACCTTTTCCGGAAGAAAAAAAAAAGACATTCACGTGGCTAACCCGATCGACATGAACATGCAACTCCTGATTGGTCGCGCTCCACACACAGAGAGAGAGAGAGAGAGAGAGAGAGAGAGAGAGAGAGAGAGAGAGAGAGAGAGAGAGAGAGAGAGAGAGAGAGAGAGAGAGAGAG